AGGCCACTCACCTATAGACTGCTCTCCAATAAAAAAACTTCCACACGCACAGTTAATAATAGTATTCAAATAACAAGACACACTGGACACTTTTGAATTGTTAACAGTTTAAATACGTTGAGAGAACTTCGGCAGTTGTTTTTTACAGTTGTGATCGCGTCGGCGAAAATTAAGCGAATGACCAAGGAAGAAACAGAAAGCAGAGAAGAAGCCGAAAGCAGCGACGCGGCGTCGCGGTTGGTGGGCGCCAGCTGTGCTTCGTTGTTGTTGCTGGCCGGCAAGCTGTGCGAGTGGAAAAGAGATGGCGCCAGTGCGTCTCTTTGTTTCTGTTTGTTTTCTTTCGTCGGTTGCAATTCAAATGATATTTTTGAATTTATTATGTATGTACGCCCCAAAAGTTCGTTAGGTCGCAAAAGTTAGGCCCCAAACTGCCAAATAATTACCAATAAGTGTTGTGATGCTTCTACACAAGCACAACGAACTTGATCAAGTCTTCTTCATCCAAGCTTATGTATATAGTCTACTTATGTACATAATTATGTATATCTAAATATACATATGCATATACATATATAAGATGATACATTTTGATCATCTATGTAGATGTATTTATATATTTATTTATTTATTATATTAATTTATATTTATATTTACAAACGTATGTATGTCTTTTTGAATGTCAAAGGTTCCAAGCAAATTCAATTATCCAAAATAGCATATACCAATTGTGTAGAAAATACTTTTTTCTCCTATTTGTTACTTTGTTGTTCAAAATGAAAGTAATTACTTGTAAAAATTATTATGTACATATTTCGAGTTACTTAAGTTGGTTTTTAGATTAGATTGTAAATGGTATAAGTATGTACATATATGGTGTTCTTCGCGTATTTCAGTACATAATTTTTGTGTTCTTAAAATAAGTAAAACTACATATGTATGTAATTAAAAAAAGTTCTTACCAAATACCATGTCTAAAAATGAAAGTGCACTCTTCACTCAGATTACCCAAATTGACAAATCATTTTAGCCACCTTGACTTTGATAAAAAGTGAAATTTGATCAAAGTGCCGGAAAAACTTGTTCACGCACTATGAAAATACATAGTTATAAAAAAACTAGTTTAGGTGCGTAGACAATCGGCAGTAGACAGTTTTCACCTCGACGGCTATTAAAACAGGCTCTAAATTTAAATACAGCCTTTGGGAAAATTGATGGAAAATCGTAATTGAAAGCTGATAAAGTTAGCAAAAGGGGTGACAAAAGTCAGAAAATAGCAATAAGAAACACCCAAGAGCGAATTTGAGATGCTGCAGATTTGAACAATAACTCGTTCAACACGTTTCACACCTTTGTATGATATCATATGTACGTATGTATGTATGTACATAACTCCCACGTAAAGGAGTACATGAATATGACTTCTGAGCCGCCTTTGTGCCGCCCACCAGTGATTGAAGGTCATCTGCTCCACAACAAAGAACCAGGAAGACCACTGCTGAGCTCCACCGCATCAATGACAATCCTGAAAAATGATATTTTCTTGTTCCACTTGGAAAAAAACGTATTTTTTCAAGCTTATAATTTTTTTTAAATTGGATGTTTTTACAAGTACAACAACATCTACATCGATCAAAAAGCCTACAATACAGGTACCGGGTACTGGGTACAGGGTACCTGGCTAGGTACTGGGTACTTTGCACAAGGTACGGTGTACAGGGTACATGGTGTTTTGTACGGCAAGGTACAAGCTAGGGTACGTTGTTCGCTGTACAAGGCACTGGGAACAATGCACGGGGTGATATATATATATATACTTGAATCTCTACAAGCATACAAATTTTTAACAAATATTCAGCTATAACGATAAGTCTTATGCGCTGAATTTCAAATGATCTATCTATTGCCGATTATTTATCGATCAGGCCGCAGCTTCATGCGATGAAACTATCGATTAGGGAGCAGCTGTGCATATTTTGATATTTCCAGCTGTTAGCGTTGAGTTCCAGCAGCTGTTCGAGCACCGCAGCGGTCTGGCAGCCCTGCTCGGAGGCCGAAAACAGCCGACTGCTATGGCACCCAGCACCATCCATCTATCCATGTCTATCGATGTATCGATAGCTCGCCCTGCCACCGCTATTCAGTGTACGTGGATTTTTAAGACAACTTTCTCGGTACCAAACACATAGTAATTATATAGCTACCCATGAGCAGCGCCCACTGAAGCGATCCACGATTGCCAGCCAGACAATTGGACAGCCGGAGTTTGCCAGCGGTCGACCCAATTAGATGTGCCTGCCCAGCGGCCAGAGCTGATAAACTCGAGTCAATCACTCCAGCCCCAATCCCAATCCCCCCGCCCCCCGGCGCACGGTCGATTGTGATATATTATTGATAATGGCCCACACCCGCCGTCCCAGCGACGGCCTGCTGGCCCGCGTGAACTTCCCGCTGTACGCGGTGGACATGCTGACCAGCCGCCACATTCTGGTGGCCGGAGGCGGTGGCTCCAGCAAGACGGGAGTGGCGAACGGCTTTGTAAGAACCGAACTCGCTCTGGCCATCATCTTTGGATGTCTCTAATGCAACGGCTCTTCTTTCCAGGAGATCTACGAACTGTACCACAATGGCAGTCACTTCTGCGCGGAGGAAGTGCTGCGCCATGAGACCGGCGCCAATGTGGTGATGAACTTCGCGGTGCGCAACGGCGGCCGGAGGGGCTACCTGTGCGCCGGCCAGGAGGCGCACTGCCAGATGTACTACGTTCAGCCGCGCGTTCAATCCGAGGAGGATGGCAATGGAAACGGAGTCGCTGACGGAAAACCTGCTCCGGAAGAGCGGCCGCATGAGAACGGCAACTTGCGCCAGCGAAACGCGCACTCGGGTGTGGAGCCGGTGGCCAACGGTCATAGGCCACCCCTGTCCACAGCCGACATATTGCGGCAGTTTCAGCGACTGCACTTCGACATACAGGCGGCGGATGTGGTCCAGACGGACTTCCTCAAGGGCGCCGAGCCCCTGCAGCGCGTGGTGCGCATCAGCGGCAACGGCCGGCTAATGGCCACGGGCGGCACGGACGGAAAGCTGCGTGTCTGGACGTTCCCCCAGATGACGCTGGCCGCCGAGCTGGCGGCACACAGCAAGGAGATCGATGACCTGGACTTCAGTCCCGACAGCAAGCTGGTTGCCAGCATCTCCAAGGATGCCCAGGGCTTGGTGTGGGACCTGGCCAGCGGCCAACTGCAACACAAACTGCAGTGGAAAACGCCCGAGGGGGCCAAGTACCTGTTCAAGCGGTGCCGCTACGGAACCGTGGAGGCGCAAAAGGACCACTACCGCCTCTTTACCATTGCGAATCCGCTGGGCAAGGTGGGAAAGCAGCGTGGCTTCCTGCAGCACTGGGACTGTGCCAGCGGGCAGCTGCGACAGGCTGTTGCCATTGATGAAAGCCTGTCGTCACTGGCGGTGCGGGACGACGGTCGGTTCGTGGCCGTCGGCACGATGTTCTCGGGCAGCGTATCCATGTACATTGCATTCAGTCTGCAGGTGAGCAGTGGCTGGTGATCACACTGTACCATCATGTCTAACCCGGTCTTGTTTTTGCAGCGCGTGCTCCACATTCCCCATGCACACTCCATGTTCGTAACTGGCCTCCAGTTCCTGCCTATCACCAATGAGGAAGGACCGCCCATCTCCAGTGACACGGAGGCAGCCGTTCTGTCCATTTCCGTGGACAACAAAGTCTGCATCCACAGTCTGCCCCAAAGGCGTAAGCAATCATCGAGCCAGCTTTGAAATTATCTCACTGCCACCTTCTTTTAGGTACAATCCCCGCCTGGATTGCCATCGCCTTTCTGATCGTCATGATTTTCGCCGTGTTCGTGCTGTGCTCATACATTGGCATCTGATGTTCAATGGCCAGAAGAGAGTTGATACACTTGCATTATTAGTTTGTAAACAGGGTTTAGTTATTTTCAATAAGCCACAACTCCCCTCTGCACTTCGCGTCGTCCCACCCTCCATCATGTTAATTAGTTTAAGTGTATAGTTTGTGCCGGCTGCCTTATCTCTTATACTAATTGCAATGTTCGCTTAGTTGTATCATAATTTGCTTATCTCTCTAGCCTTGCTCGTTTGGCAGCTCTGCCCGTTGTACATGGTTTTTTAAATTTAATTGATATTTCACTTATACGAAGGCAAACAACAAAATACTGACTAGTAAAAGCAGTCAGATGAATTGTAAAACCATTTTTATAATCAAAATGTTAGCTAATCGAACTGTGGTGCGTTAAGCACACCATTCTTACAGTCACAAGTGAATGATATATAAATGCATTCAGTCATGAAGTTTCGTTTTTTATTCGATGGCACAGTGACGAGTGTTGGAAATTTGGCAGGATTTCGAGCCGAAAACTCAGCCTGCCTTTCAAAGGAGCAGGAGTTGCAGGACTCCGAATGGAATCTATGGATGTAGTCATAGTAGATCGTCTGATGCTGTTGGTTTCCGGAGCATTCCTGGCTGGGAACGGTAAGATAAGATAGTCAATTTCTGCCATCACATACTTTCTTTTCGCATGTAAGCGTTGCAATTCCTTCTTTGCCCTCAGCATATATAAATTCACCCCACAGAAAGTGGCATCCGTCGAAGTTTCCCGCTTGGCAGGGAGATCAGATTCCAGAGCTCACCTCCAGGTTCTCTAATCGGTTGTTTAGCTAGTCGAGAATCGTGATGAGTTTCCGGTACGCACAGGAAACATATATTAGTGATTGACCTTTGACACCCATTAGAATTTCTTTAGCAAATTAAGTCAAATTACTTCATCTCGTATTTCCAAAACGAAGTGGGTAAGCTTCCTTCGAAAGGAAATGAAAAAGCATACAACGATTGTGTTTATTTCACGCTTGTTTATTGACTTTCATATTTCATTTGCGTTTCTTCATGCAATATTTGATTTTACGATTTAAAACTATGTATTAACTCTGCGTTTACAAAAACTATGCTGACGCTCTTAATTATATTTGTTATCTTCTGGTTTGAAAATGTGTAAACCTAGTTATGCTTGCGTTCTTCTTGTTTATCAGTTCAATATTCTCCGTGTGTAAAATTAAAGTTACCGATCCTTTTCCTCAGTGTTCCCTTATTCAGTGTATAAAATGCATATAAAATGATGGGTACATGATGTCGAAGATTAGTTGACACTAATGGTGGAGGGGAAGGAAGAAGTTTGGCGAGCAGAGTTTATAATAAATAAGTATTATATTATAGGTATTGTATAAATATTAAGCGCCAATATGGCCTTTGTTTTTCGTTCTCATTAATATGTGTGTAGAATTATGCACGTAACTTATTATTGTGTACGGTTTTGGGATTGGGTGTCGTTAAGTGATCGATCGTTTACATATAATTAACTTAGTTATGCTAATGCCTAATATGCATAATGCCAATTGTTGCAATTTGACTAAGTGACAACACAGGAAAACAAACTATACCTAACATACGTGTATATGCTTTATGCCAAACTAAAATGAAATTTTGCAATATTGGGAAACTTTCAAATCAAACACTCAACAAAAATCGGATCAAGCCAATAAAACGTAATAGGAGGTAATATTAATTTTAAAACAAATTTTTTCCTTTTTAATACTTTTGGCATTTTCATTTTCGCTGCTTGAAAACTATCTCTCTGCCATATCCATCCGTCTCTTTGTTTTCTTTCCAGGCCTAACCACGACCCCAGAGAAAAAACCTAAGCTAATTTCAGTTAGAATTTGTTTGGACAGTCTTAATGCTGATTGGGGAGTGGCCTTGGACCCCTACGATGCCTTGGCGAACTGAATGACCGAGCTCATCCGTATCACCTTCGACCCGGGTCCATCCCCGGCGCCAACGGAAGCGGCGCCACTGGCGGCGGAGGCGCCATCGCCGCTGGCCTTCTCCGAATCCACCTGGTCGTCGTCGACCTTGTTCATGTAGTGCTTGCGCTTGCGCAGCGGCAGCGTCATCACGTTCCGGTCGGCCATCATCAGGGAGTCGCTCTCCGGCGAGGAGCTCCGTTCGGGCGACTCCGTGCTGGACCGCAGGCCGATGGCCGCCTCCAAGCGTCGCACAATGTCCGGATGGGGTAGAGCGGATCTGAAGGGGATTAAGCGATTTAGTATGACTCTAAAAGGAAAAACAAGTATCCGGCAGGGTAATACTCACTCATATTTGGGCACTGGTGCATAGCCCTTGTGCAGCCCATGGCGAGCGAGATCGCCGCGCTTGAAGTGCTCGATCAGCACGGTGGCTTCATGGGTGTCATCGTAGTTGGCGGCCAGATCGCTGACGTGCAGAGTGGGAACCTGTGGCTGGTGGCTCGGCGCCTCCTGCTCCGCCGGCGGTAAGGAGCAGTGGCCGCGACGCAACTGCATCATTTGCATGGCGGCTGCCTGCACATCCTCATCCTGGTCATCGTTGTCGTGGTGGCGACGCGCCATGCTGGCCGCTTCGAGCAGGGCGGGATTAATGGTAAGACCAGCGGCTTGGGGCTGAAGCTCGATCAGAGTCGGCGGGGCCTGGTAGTAGACCACGGTGCTTTCCGGCACCTGACCCTGGACCTGCTGCATGCTCAGGTCTGTGGGCTCCTCGTCCGCATAGGTGCTGTGGGCGGGCTGGGCGCTGGACACACCGCTGTCCCGGCTCAAGGCATCCGCGTCCATCTGGACGGGCAGGTAGTGGGCCGACGTGGGTGGAGGCGAGGCCAGGCTGCTGGCCGATGGCGAGTACGTGGAGCTGAGCGAGCTGGGCGAGAGCGGCGAGGAGGTTGGGATGGAAAGGGTGGCTGCCGCGGTTTTGGAACCGCGCGGCTGGCGAGCCTGGCGAGGTTTCTTTGTGGCCGGCGGCGAGCTGGGCGGCGAGTGGTTGCTGCTCTCGGAGTTGCTGCTGACTCCTTGCAAGGACGGCGATCCGGCGGAGGAGCCGGCGGACGTCGATGCTCCTGCCGCTGCCGCTGCCGCCGCCTCCGCTTCGTCGTCGGGTACTTCGTTGGCATGGCCCTTGATGTGGGCCTCCATCTCCTTCTTGTTCTTGAACGTCTCGTCGCAGATGGTGCACTTGTAGCACTTGGAGCCGTAGTGCTGGACGCGGTGCAGCTTCAGCACGTGGTTGTAGCCAAAGTCACGGAAGCAGATGTCGCAGTGGTAGGGCTTCTCGCCCGTGTGCGTCCGCGAGTGCACCTTGAGCTGCTTGGAGCAGGTGAAGCCTTTGCCGCAGCCCGGCTCTGGGCACTTGTACGGCTTCTCGCCGGTGTGCGTGCGCATGTGGATCACCAGCTGGCCGGACTGGATGAACGTCTTCTCGCACACGGAGCACTTGTGCGGCCGCTCGCCGGTGTGGATGCGCATGTGGCGGTGCAGCTTGCCGGAGTGCTCGAATGCCCGTCCGCACACTTCGCACTTGTACGGACGCTCCTTCGTGTGGATGCGCCGGTGCACCTGGAGGTTCTCCTTCACGCTGAACAGCTTGTGGCAGAACTCGCACTCGAACGGTCGCTCGCCAGTGTGGGTGCGGTAGTGGCGGATCTGCAAGCGATGGATACACAATGATTTGGTGGTCCAATAATACGTAAATAGAATGCACAATCTACCGAAGGCCTAATTAATAGAAACTAATCCCGGTGTGGGGACACTTACCAGCCTGGCGGGTACGGCAAATGTTTTCTGGCAAACGTTGCACTGATACGGATCCGCTCCGGCAGCCACGTTGGCCAGCGGCTTGATGGTGGGACTCTTGGGTATGCCCACCGGCAGACCCGCTTCATTGAGCTCGATGGCCGCGGATGAGACAGGCACGGCGACGCCGGCTCCAGCGGCGCCATTGAGGGAAAGATCTTGGTTCTTCGAGTGCGACTTGGTGTGGGAGGTGTGCGCGGACTTGCTGCCGAAGGTCATGCCGCACTGGTCGCACTTGAACTGCGGTTTGCCGGCGCTGGACTTGCGCACCTGCGTCACCATGGCTGTCGCCGCTGGGAATCCGCCGGCGGCCTCTGTCTTGATCCGCTGGGTTGATGTGGCTGCCGTCGGAGCTGCGGTAGTAATACTATCATGTTGCTGCTGCTGCTGCTGCTTCTGGTGCTGCTGGATGGCCAGTTGGTAGCTGACGAACTGCTGCTGCTCCTGCTGGTGCTGGTCCTGCAGCTGCAGTTGCATTTGTCGCTGCTGCGGCGTCTGCAGCAGCTCGAAATGCTCCTGCTGGCCGCCGGACGGCGGTGCTCCGATGCCCACGCTCGTGGTCGTCGCCGTCAATGGGGGCGGCACCTGGAGGCAGAACTGCGCCTGACTAGATTGTTCCGTTTTTATGAGCAGCTGGTTGGCGGAGTAGTAAACCATTTTGGTTGTGGCTGAATCTGAAAGAGGGAAGAGGGATACACATTAGATTTGAGACGGTAAAAAGTAGTGGGATCCCTGACCAAGATAGTTGGTTGAAATCTAAACCAAGTTGGCCTAAATAGATTTGATTAAAAAAAAAACTACATTAACTAGATACTTTTTTTTTATATGATAACTACTTGTAAGCTATATTAACATCCTAGTGGTTGGTTGGGCCATGGTTCTTGTGGCTATTCAGAGCCAGCTTAACCATAGTATAAACTCGACCTCCTTTTCACCCATCGATTCAGATTCTGCGTCTCAGGAAAAACCAGCAAGCAGATAGAAAGTGCAATACGGGTGGTTAGGAAAAGCCCCCTAAGAGCCAAAGCAAAAAGGGCGTAAAGGGGAAAACCCACCCCGTGAATTCATACTACGCACTTTCTGTTATTGCCGGATTGTGAAAACCCAATGAGCTTATGGGGGGAGGAAAAGCGAAGGAAGGCGCAAGAGAGGGAGAGCCAGAGGAAGTGGGAACAATTTCATTGAGAACCCTGCCTCGAAAATGTCCCACTTGGGATATTTGGGAGACAGCACTACGAATCGTACGGTTTCCAACCGGCATTTCCCGTTGCCATCCTGCTCGCTCTCACTTTCTGTCTCAGTCGCGCTGAGTCGTGCTTTTTTTTCTTTGTTATGATAGTATGAACTCCACCACTTCCCCCAAAACAAGAATTGCGTATACCAAAACAAAATGGCGTCGTGAGGGAACTTTTTCGGTCGAAACTTTCCCGAAAAGCATCTCAATTACCTTTCGCCGGCGATTTCTTGGTGGCAACAGCCTTGGCCGGACTCTTGGATATATCGAGCAACTCAGTGCCCGATTTCTTGAGAACATCCTTGATCCAAATTTGTTTGGGAGCCCAAGATTTCGTATCATTCTTGCTTTCAGTCATCTTGCTACTGCTTCATATGTTTCCTAATAATACTTTCCGATTGTTAAAGTCCAATCATTCAATTGCAAGCCAGTCTAATTGTGTGGTTTATTATATTTGTAGAGATCTGTTCTTATTAAATGTGTATACTTGTAAATTTATTCATTGATTTGGGTTTGCAAAATCAGACTTTAGCAGAACTTGTGTCAGTTTTTCAGTATCAGTCCCTCGATTTGTCTATCAGCAGTCTTAACATTTATTCATTCATTTATCTCATTTATCTCGTTTCGAGACATTTTTAGACAAGGATTTTCATTTGACGGGTGATTTTCTCCTTGATCAGGTTCTTCTTGATGATTTTGATGATTTTCTTCAAGTCCTTCGACTGTTGCACGGGATAGGTGTGTTGGTAGTGCTGCATATTTTGCGGGGGCTGCTGTTGATGCTGATGGTTGCGGTATTGGTGGTGTTGACCGCCTTGGCCCGAGCCCTTATTCATGCGCATTTTTCTGAATGATCTCAAAATATCGTTCATTGAAAAGTCGGTCATTTTCGAGGTGTGGACCACACACACATACACGCACACGCACAACACCCGTACAAACAACACTTAACGGAGTAGAATGGGATTCGGATTATGTTCACATCGCCGCTATCGAGGTTTTCGGTTCGATGGTATAACGGAGACTGGTGGGTGAGTTCCCGAAAAATCAGCCTCAAACCCCGTCACGGAAAAACCAACCACCAACAAGAAGAATGGTCCCATTAGATCCGAAATTTCCCTCAATTGGAAAATGTTTGAGTGCAATGTCAATGGGAATTTTCGAGTGGTTTTTTTTTTGAGTTTGAGTATTTTCAGACCATCAAAATTTCCCCGAGTTCAGGGAAATTTTATTGGTATCTAAGACATCTGCAACATTTTGTATTTCAAACTTAATGAAATCATGTATACAAGTATGGAATATTTGAACTTGAGTGATTTCATTTTAGTGATGTAATTAGTTGGGTTTTTATTGATAAGATTCCAGCTTTTGAGCCATAAATGCAACGAATTAGGCAATAAGTTCTGATAGTTCTTATCGCAGTTATTATTTTATTGTTATTATTTTTCAAAGTAACAAAGTTCAACTTGCTTGCCACACTTAGCATGCCAGTTAACTATAGTTTTGACAATTATGCGTTTAGAGGCTACAAAATCTCAGGGATCCATCGAGCAGTCCATATATAGAAAGCCAACGACCAGTTTCCACCTTCAACAACCGAACATTTATAAGAAACCCTCCCAAAAAACAGAATGAGCACGAGAAGCAAATGTTGAAATACAAAAGTTTCGGTGAAGGCAGGTTCAAAAAACTTTATCGGCTTTCGTTGTTATTGTGCCTGATGTTTATTCGGCTGGCTGTGCGTTAAACTAGCGCAAAAGTTCATTAACATTCGACACAAAAACTATTTCTGAGTGAGTGTGGTGTTGTTGGAGGGTTGGAGGGGAAGGGCAGAGAATGATCACCGATCCCCCGATTCGTGCGCTCGTGCTCTTTTGGGCTGCCCGACCAAAAAGTTTCTGAAGGTACGAACGACACAATATTTCGGGGGGGAAAAGATACATTTATCTCTTATGAGTTGGGGGGCAGCCAGAACGGGAAAAACGAGGGGAGGGGGTCAGCTGTGGCTCGGAAAAGTTGAAGTGCCGTTATTTTGTTGGGATAGCTCTGAAATAAAGCGACTTGAAACTGGTCTTGGGTGGAAGTGATCGCCGTGTTTGGATAGATCAGTAAAGTTGCTGTTAAGTTGCTTAGCAGGCAGTACGAAAGCTAGATACAAACTTATTAAGCAAAACAAAAAAAAATTTTTATTTTAAATTCAATTAAATGCCCTTAAGATTACCTCCAAGAATACACTCGACGCTTTACACGTAGCTTTCTTACACGTGGAGATACATACGCACAGATACAGATACATTGACTTGGGCGGTTTGGATTCGGTGTTGGTTTTTGGTGTCTTCTTTGTGGACTTTTGATGGGGTCATTGAACACTTGAATATAAGCAAATTGTAAGCTTTTCCCTCCGCTGCTCCCCCTCGAATCCGATTTGTTTATGAACTTATTTCTGCTTCCGTCGGGAGTATCCATTCCAAATGGAGGACTGCGGTTCAATTTTACATATTCTAGCGGAGGTTCGATGAGCCTGATAAGATAAGGCGATAAAACACGACACGCTCGCAGTTTTTCAATTCAGAGGAAGTCTCTCAATGAAATTGTGCACTAAAGTTTGAGCTCTGGACAGACTTATCACACGAGAACTATCAACAGCGATAAAAATTGAACGAATGAAATTGGACTGGAAATTCCGTGGGACGAAATATACTGGAAGAATTGAAAATTGCACCTTCTGCTTTTTGATAACCCTTAATTGTGGTTAAATTGTTATTTAAAGTCTAAAGCACTATTATAAAAGTTGGACTATTAAGACTCGAGTGATAGAAATGATACAAGTTTTAAAATAGATACATACACGTAGATATACAATTTTAAACTGCCTACAAATTGTAGGTTTGCCTTTAAAGATATATATTACGAATTTTGAAAATGTCCAAATGGAATTGCTATTATTATTTCGAAATCAAAATAGGTTTTGTACATATATGGAACACAGCGTTACTAAAACATGAGAGAGCTGTATGAGTGAGCGAACATGCCAGATTTAGAAATTTTAACATTCTACTTTAGTGTTGTGTTTATATTGCGAAGGTCTAGACACGAAGTCTGAGCTTAGGCTGCGCTGCTGCTGCTCTGCCGCCGCCTCTGCCGCAGTCTGCGTCGCCGCTGACGAGCCACGCACAAATTGCGTGGGGCAGCGGTTGGCCTAGGTCAAAAAGCAAAGACACGCACGCAGGCAGGCAGCGAGTTACAGTTACAGCGAGCGAGAATGCTGGAGGCGGGGGTGGAGGGTGTGTAAGGGGAACTTTTCATAATCGCTAAGGTGGCAAATGTGGCGTAATATTCCCATCTCACGTTGCGCTAGTTGGCGAAATTGAATACTAGCGCTAGAATGCGAATTCAGATAACACAAGCATATGTACATTTGCAGAAGTGACACCCCTCCCAATGACGTGTTTTCACTGTTTCAACATCTGTGTATCTATATGTACATACATACATATGTACATACAACGCTTGCTACAGAAATGGCGCAGCCAGGAAACCTTCCCTTTCGTTTGGCCATCCATCCAACACCCCACCCACCCACTGGGCGTTGTTGTTTGTGTCGTTGCTGTCACTGCAACAGTCACCGCAAACAACATGCTTACTCATTGCAGAGAGCGAGAATGAGAGATTGGGGTGAGAGAGGAAGAAGAAGAGCGAGAGAGCGAACCAACACGCGCATTGATTGTGAGGCTGTCGAAAACTCGCGCACGACCTCCTTACGGCAGCCCGTGTTGCTGCTGCCCGACGAGCGAGTCGAAAACCCATGCACGCCCTCCACGTGTAGTTCAAGTTCAAGACAACAGCGAGAGCCAGCAAGAGAGTGTGAGGTGAGTCGGCACGGCGCACACAATGTCGCTGCGGCTGCGACGCGAGTGTGAGAGTGCAGTCGAACTCTGCGGCCGCGCTGCCTGCGTCGACGCTGCAGTTGGCGCTGCAGGCGAACTTTTTCTACGACTCTGCCTGTGTGTGTGTGCAAGGCCTAGGCAAATTTTGCATTGCATACTTTTTTGAAGGATTTAATTAGATTTTGAAGCTAAGATTTTAAATAGGATGGATAGCAAAATATTTATATTTATATATGTACATACATATATTTTATCAGAAAAGAAACAAAAGTAATGAAACCTCTTCGAAAACGGGTTTAACTGCAGTTGCAGAATTGCCTAACGCATTTCCGCTTCAACTTTAATTCTGCTCGATAAAACGCTGCCATCAGCGGCAAGCGACGTCGCTGGCGACGGAGCAACCTCAATCCAGCGAAGGGTTAACGAACTACGAAAAAAGCTCACAGCGATATTTTTTCAAAAAGTGTAGAGAAAAGAGATCCAAAAATTAAGTATGAGAGTCTTGGTGCCGCAAGAAGCCCCAAAAAACACTGCTTTTCAGGGGGCGGGGATTCAGATCGAGATACAGATACAGATACAGAAACAGATGCAGATACAGATGCGATCGGAGCTGGGCAACCACAGTCAATACATAATGTTTTGTGAAAACCCCAAAATAAGTACGATAAATAATACGAGCAGAGATCCCAAAAAAAGAAGCAACAAAGGGGCGGCATGCACAAGTGCCGCCTTTACGTGCCGAATTTTCTGTTCTTTGTCCGAAAGGGGGATTGAATTCACTTTACATACTCGTTCCTTTTGTTCTGGAACCAAATTGAAGCACGGTTTTTACGACACATTAAAAATAACCAGGCACACGCATTCGGGTTAACTTTGTTTTTTGGGGGAGTGCCGGAGCTTTCGATATTTTTGGAGCTGCATTAGGGAAAGGCAAACAAGTTAACCGAAAGCTTCCGGCATTACGGATAACACTCTGACTAACGAAATCGAAGGGCCCATCATTCTGGGGGCGTGTTGCCAGAACTGGTCGAATTCAAGTGATCGTGATCCGCAAACATCAAACGCCAATTTATATTCTACACCAGTTACTCAGCGGAAGATTCCGAAAGCGGTGTGTATCTTGCGGATACATTGAAGATGGCAAAAGAAGCTCGAGAATGTGTGTGTTATTTTTTGGCAAAAACAAGTTTGACAGGTTGATTGCCATTAACCACAAAAGTCGTGCAAAGTACTTGCTCGAAATGCAGCCCTGTTTCCGAATGCACTTTATTGGATTAACCTAGCTGCTCTGCATAAAGCACATTGTTGTGAAATATTCACATTTTACTGGCCATCGACGGCCACCATGCCTTGAACTTGAATTTCGGAGCAGCGTAACTGGCCTTCAAGCGAAGCCCGGTACAGTGAGCACTCGGCACGAAAGCGCTCAGCTGTGGCGTGTACAGCCAACGAGCAGCGTCAAAAGCTGACGCGACGCTGCAGTCCTGTCCTTGAACTTGGCAAATATAATCGCTGCTGTATTTTGCACACACACAAACACACTCGTGCAATTCGCCTTCAAATGCACACAGCTGCATCTGCAACGAGCGCGCATTATGCATGTGTGTGCGTGCACACATACACGCACGGCGCTTATGTACAAATTTGCGTATCTGTGTGCCACACACATAGCCATGATGTGGCCACAGTAATTTAACGTTTTTATGAAGAACATTGAATAATCATTGCTGAACCTAAAATACATTTGAATTTCGAAATTAGCCTTTGTCAGAGTGAGCTGCCAATAAAATCGCTTTAATCACGAGCTTTTGTAGTTTCGGAATTTCCCAAAATTATTCATTGGTCAACTTCTGACTTTCAAAGAATTTTCTAAATGTATTTAATCATATTTATAGTATTTAACGATTTCCGCCAACTGATGAAATCTTTGTAACAAACATTTAAATTCGCAGAAAGCCTATCAACTATTATTCGCATTTTTAATAGATAACAATAGTCTAGGACACATTCACAGCTCTCTTTCCCATTCAAAAGAGCCTTATCATGCTGTTTTTGACACTCGTATAATATAATATCAAAAAGTTCCCAATAATTTAGACACTGACCATAGAAAACTTTTTGCCGAACAAAAAATATATGTATGTATGGGGTATTTTGGCAGAACCGGCAATTAGAAACAAGACCCAAGAAAGAGAACATAAGCTGCTATAAAATTTGTTAACCAAGGTCAACACTTTTTATTTATAAAAGTATCAAAAGAGCAACAATTGGAATGGCGAGAGGGGGCGGGCGAGTGGACAGACATCCTAAATATATGCATATATATATGCATGTATATACGCCACCCGAACTTGATAAACAAACAAGCGATAGCAGCAACAACGCTCCTAAAGAACTTCCAAAACGGCAGCAGTAACAAATTCACAAAAATATGGCGTATTTGATAGGAGGCAGGGTAGGGGAGCCATGGGGGTGCCCAAAGAGATACAGACATTTTTGGCACCACACACAGATACGCGTGCACGCACACATAGGCGCAGGTCTTACGCATGTCTGCGAACCGGCTTTTTTCGCTTTATTCCCCATTTGTGTTAGAATACCTCGGCCTGGAGACTCGAGTTAGTGCGTTGTGTGTATCTACCAAAGGTACAGATACATTTACAGATACAGATACAGAGCTACAAAAGTCTCCCTAGTTGTTGCCGCGGCGTTCCAACATAAAACTCAATGGGGTAGGCAAAGGGTAGGTCGGTCGCCTAATCAGTTAAAAATCGAGGGTTTTGCCACGAGTTGGTCATGTGACATGGTAATCGCCGCAAAATGTGGCAAAAAAATATGGCGAATATATAGCGAAATGCTATATAGCCTGCAGGAAATCGGAGAATGTCGGAGAATGCCAGATAAGGCCTTCGCTTTCGCTGATATTTGATCGCAGTTTGCGCATTTATAACCAGAAACAAGCGACTTTCATGCTGAGTACTGCTCTAAAAATACTTCCAGTTATATATATCGCTTATTTGGTTTATGGCTAAGGTACTAAGAATAATTGCAGAATACAATCAGGTCCAAAGATAGAAAACGGTACGATTAGAAAGGGCGAACGTGTTATGCCTAGAATGCTTTACAGATACAGTTCTGAAATATTATAATTGAATAATGATGAAGAAATACTTACGAAATGTTGATACAGAAAATACTTTGAATTCAAATTGATTGCAATAGCTAAATTGAAAGGTATCAAATGCGGCAAAGCAGATACAATTCGATTGTATTTCGCCTGCTTTATCGACCAAAACTCACTATCACCAGTTAGCATTTCCGCCTTCCAACTTTTTATGGCGAATTGGCAGCATATAAGCTATATAATCGGGGAATCGGCCATATATCTTGGCATCCACATCCACAACCCCAACCCCAACAACAGCCCCATACATCTGAGCACGGCACCATTCATAAAGCACCTGATCCCACATCAAGCGAGCGTTTTAATATCGCCAGAGTGATTTGATAAGAGCTCGGCCAACAGGTGGAACGTGAATGAACGCAGCTACGACAACCCAAGTCAGTGCGCGGCTCGAAAAGAAAGAAAGTTGAATCAAATCAGCTTGGCAATGGACGCGATAGCGATGGCAGCATTAAGTTATTGTGTTTTTCTTGCTCTATAATCGGTATTTTTGTTTTCGTGCCCTGCGACAATTCGGCGACAATTTCCTGTGAACATAAATACCTAAATATCAATTCTCCGAGATTAAAGCAGAAAAGAATTCTTCGCCACCTTCTACTCGGTGTTACTTTCCGATTTCTTTTCAAATAAACGTTCTTTCGCCTGACGTTGGCACTGACCTTCGGACACAAAGTTGGCAAATGATTTGATAAAAGGTGTGATAACATCAAATTATGTTATTTTTGGGCAGAGCTATGGATCTGAATATTCCATCATGACTGGCAAGTTGAATACTAACTATAAACAACTTGAATTGTCATGGTTATTTACTGCTCTGGTTACTGCCCAAATCGTCCTTGTATGAATGTAATCGATTCGCAATGAATATTTTGAAGAGTTGCGATCGCATAATAAATATAAATGCTTCAGTTCACCAGGGATTTCCCTTTCTATGGGGCTTCTGGTAAACGTTGATATGGTTTCGCTATCACAGTTTGATGGCATGATCCTGTCAAGTGCTAAGACCCAAAAACAGTGAATCATCACATTAGTCACCAATGCTTAGGAAACCCCTCTTGAGGATCGATAGAGCCAATATCAAAAGTGGCGAATACCTAGAACGATTCATATTAGCCTATTGTCATGATGACTCAAAAGGTCGATTCTTAAGCTAATTGGGTTTTGAGTCACCATGAAGCAGCTGGTAAAGTAGCGGTGGAGGTGTATTTTTGGTACATTTTCTAAGTGCCAAGAGATACGGCAATGCGGTAATGGGAGTGCATCATGGGGCGTATGTGTGATATTTTGTATTGATTGCGTATTTATAGATCTGTTGTTATACTTTTTCGGGGCTTATCATTGCCGTGCCATATTTAGTTTGACGTACATAAATTTCGAAGCATTTTCAGGAGAAGTCGTCTGTATTGCGTATACGACACGTTGAACAATATAATAGGCGAAAACTTAAAAAATAAATGAAGCTAAATGCTACATTGTAATAAGAATTTACTGATATTAAATATGTCAATAATTTTAAGTGGACGATATGCAACCAACTCACCATAAAATTGATCAATAAAATCCGTAGAATTTAGTTTAAAAGTCCTCCTCGGTTGCAAAAGGTAATCCAAATTGGCGTTCTGACGTGTGATCACTTTTCTGCTCTTTCTCCGATTTTTCTTCTTTTTTTTTCGCAAGTTCTGAGGGAGTCGCGCGTCCAAACACGCAAATCGACCAGAGGCAAGTGTTTTCCGCCTAAACTTTTTCACTTTTTCACTGCGCCGCGTAACCGTAATCGCTTTCGCAGCGACAGTTCTCGCTCACTCTCTCTCTCTGCTTTTCGCAGTCGCCGATGACCAATTACAAAATTCACTGAGACCGTTAGAAGAGGAACGTTTCTGTCTTCCGTTCTGTTTTTCGCAGTAATGTTGTTGTTATTGTTATTGTTGGTGGTAGCTGGCACTGGTAGCTAGCACTGAAAGGCGCTGAGCAAGCGATCGTACGTATACTTGATGTGCGGGCATTCGGGTACACTCGGCTCTCTTCGGGCGAGCCACTCGTCACTCGTCCACAACCTTCGCGCTTTGATATTATAAAATTATTAGTTTCAAGTTTAGAATCGTGCTGCTCTCTTGCACTCGACTCTGAAGCACTGATGTTTGTTTTTGCTTTGGCTTTTGTTGTTCTTTTCCGATTTCCGTGAATATGTTCTAGTCACGAGTGTGTGGTCCGATGTGCGTGTGTGTGTGCCTGTGTGTGTGTGTTTATTATCTGCTGAGCAACTAGCAATCGTTATTGTTATCTCTGCGCACATTCATTCACACGCCACTTTAAACAGTATTGACCTAGGTTGTTATGTAGTATTCGGGCTATACATACATGCATAACGTTATACAGCTATACTAATTCACTAATTCTTAGCACTTCCTACCTCTGTTTTGTGTCAGCTCGCCGGAATTGAACTTAATTTCGGCTTTCCGATATATCAGAGCTGTCAGTCTTTAGTTGTAACGTACACACAACGTAAAAAATTGATTTAGAAATTGCACTTGCGTTGGAAACTATAACACTAAACGACCACCACTTTTCTTCTACTTCATAAGGCAAACGAGATCGATTGGTAGGTAGTATTTAACGATTTGATTAGGTTCTTTGCGATTCGCAGCTGCTGGGCATTAACTTTCTAAAACTACTCGAGGTCCAAGTTCCCGAGAAATTCGGTGAACGTCACGTCCGTGCGCGTTGCCTGCTCGTCGAGAAATACGAGAACCGAAAAATTTGCCGAGAACAAAGCTCGCGTCGGCAGCGGCGTCGACTGCGCAGCCAGCGCAGAACGAAAGTCGCTGCGACGTATGCCTATGCCTGTGTGTGTGTGTGTCTGTGTTTGCGTGAACCGGCATTTGCCGCAGCTGCCATAACGCACACACTCACACAAAATAAGTTAATAAAGGTGGTTCGCCGCCTTCGCAGTTTTTGTATTATTCGCAATTGTTGTTGCTGCCTCTGCTGGCAGCGACGTCGACTGCGACGGGGGCAGCACCGCTCAACTTACTCAATAAAATTTTTATTATGATATCGCCGCACACGTAAAAAATGTCGACGTTTTGAATTGTCGTTGGGCTTTCGGCTCCCCGTTCTTATCGCCCCACTCAAATTCGCCGGATGACGTATGTACATACATACATACCCTTGGAATGGTCCGAGCATCAGATTTGTTAACAAAGAGTATGGTCGATTCAGATAGCCGATGATTTGCCAGTCAGCGTTCAAGGTTCATCGATTCGATTAGATACAGATCGAAGATGCACATAAATAGCTGACCCCCAAATGAATTGCAATGTAAACATTCAAGCCAGGAAATTGTATCCCTAAAAAGTAATAGTTTCTTATGGAGCTATCTCATGGATGTACAGGTAAAGAAAGTATGGCTTTTACCTAGAACATTTTTAATATCAAATGCAGCAAAATTCGAATGGAAGTTATCAAGGTTCCAGGAAAGCTTTTCCTTAGCTTAATATTCAGTTAAAACAAACAATAGGAGCTGGTTACACCTCTTAAGTGTAATTTATAGTTATAAAGGCTATTAACCATTTTATGCATGCTCAAATGTTCGGTGCCGCTCTGCCATCCAATCGCAGACAGCATTTACTCCAACCACCCGCAAAATGCATTCGTACTTTGTTTTATGTACATTTGTTATTACAAGGAGTGTATTGACCTGCGATTTCTTTTGTGGCGACGATAGCGTTGACAAAAATGAAAATGGCAATATTAAAAGAATGGCGTGTATAAATAAACGGTGCGCTGCAGAATTCGAAGAACCGAGAAATTTCTTAATTTCCATGGGCGCAAAAAAAGAAAGAGCCCAGCAAATTTTGTTTTTTGGCGGCGAAGAAAGCCGAACGCATTTCCTGCGCTGCTGCAGCGCTGCCACCGCGCTGCTGCCAAAGGGGGGGAGTGGATCGCGGGGGTCAGACGGTGCAATAAATTCGGTCTTCATCCCTCCTGCGAGAACAGCAACAGCAACAGCAACAGCAACAACAACCACGACAACGACCAGCAGCAAACTCAAACTCAGAAGGTCTGGCAAGTTGCAGGAAGGGCAGCTGCGACGCCGACAGCGCAGCCTGCAGCGGCAGCATCGTGCGCAGAGTTCGCGTGGCGGCAGTGCAACGGTTTTCGACGCCATCGAGAGGCCGTGCAGCGAGTTTCGAACATGCTGCACATGGGAATGGAAAATGGAAATCATGCATATGCGCCTCATCATGGTGTTGGTATCCTCCACGGCCATTTCCCATTCAGCCGCTGCGCAGTCGCTGGGCACAGTGGGCGTGGGCATCGCGTCAAGCGCCAAGAAATTCGCCTCATTCACTTTGTGGGTGGACCGTCCGCCAAGGAAGAAGCGTTCATTTAGCTGTTCATTTTGTTGCTTTCAAATCGGCTCTAATGCACAGACAAATTGGCGTAGAACAGACGCAGTACTTGGCATTACAAGTGAAATTATGCAATAAACAATCTAAAAATAGAACAAAACTGAAACTTGATAGTCGTAATATACGTTATGCACAGTATGTACATACAAGTATGTACACTCGATGAACAGATAGGAATGTTATTGCACTTTTAACGTGTGCAATCGGGTGCCTTATAATGTGCATAGGACTAACTTTCATCTGCCTTTAATTTCAGTTGAAATGAAAATAGGCGAAAAGGGATTATTATATTTTTAGAGAAAAAGAGGATGAGTTTATAAGCAATGAAGGTTTCATTTTTATAAAATACCACCTAAGGGGATGTATGCACACAAGTAGATGCTGATCAAGAAGACACATATTCACCTTATTGGTTCAGAAATAGAAGAAAGTACTTTACTGAAAGTAAACCAAAATTAAGTACTCGTGCAAGGGTTAAACGAACCTGCCAAATTCGTGTTTTTGGCCAAAATGTGAAACGCGGAGCATGGTGGGCTCGTTTTTGGCGTTCCATGAGATAACGAGCTTGTTGACTTTGCTTACGCCTAGATAACAATGAAAAATAGTGCGCCATCCAGAATGCGGTTGAAATTAGATACGAGGGGACTGTCTGGGGATTGTTCGCAATCAGCGTGCAAATAGTAGGGAATCACAAAGTAGTCATAGTGCCCAGCACTCGTGTGGAGCGCATTGCATTTGCCGAGTGCGCAACAAGTTGAGTGTCATGGTTACCGCAACATTGTAAGTGCGCTATTATGCATATATGTACATTACATGTACATTATTTGTGTCTTGGGCCCTTCCGCCCAAGACACCAACTGTGTTCTGCCGTGCTGAATGCTTATCGCGCCAGGCTTGCATAACTCGGGTGGCGTTAAAGCCACCACACCACTGAAAATGTATGGCATATCAAGGGTCCAACAATCCGATTTGCATATGTACGTCTTAGTAAATGTGTCTAAATAATACACAGAGTATAGAACTACCGTAATGAATTTATTCCATCTGATGTAATTCCTATTATTGCAATTTCTATAGGGTAATAAATTTGTTTACCAAGATGCAAAATCAGCGAAGGCAAATAGATTGCGATTAGTTGACTTGGTCCGGAAAACGCTCTCCACGCTCTCCACGCCCTCTGCCTAATTTGCATGCTATAACTATAATCCTACGGGCATATGTACATGTGTGCATCACTTCACACATCGACAAAGGTAGTATGTGAATGAATGCATCTGCGGTTTCATTGTCAATGCCAAATTACGTAAAGGTAGAGGTCGTTGTAGGTAGAAAGCCTAGGCCTACGGCTCTACAATTCAAATTCATATGGCAAAAGAAGAATGTAGTTTATATAGGTTATCATTGTATCTTGTAATTGGCACTGTTCTATGTTTCTTTTAGGCTACCAGATTTCATTTAAGAAAATGACTCCCTTCAGTGAGCATTTAAATTACTCATACGTAACGTGAAATTTTATGTAATAGAAATCCCAGAATAAGTCTGTGCATTCAATGCTAATATGTGGAGCTTTATAATATCAGTGCAGTACTTTACCAAAGCTTAAGCTGTTTTTTAGTTGGTATTTACATAAGCAGAAGCGTAACTTGTATTAATGACAAATTACGAAAACAGGCTGCACGCGAAAAGAAAAGATTACAAAACACATTTCGCAGTTGCTTTCATTTGTTTTTCCGACTAATCCATGCATATGTACATTCATAATGCAACTGGCCTTAAACCGCAGGCGCCATTCGTTTCTTGGCTGAATTATCGCTTGGGAATTGTCGGTTCTATTAGGCATGCAGTTTGTTATGTAACTATTCGCTGCTGCAGACAAAATAGCTCCACTGTACTGATCGAAATGATCGATAACTTGCATCGATAACAGGTGGCTTGGGGTGGAAGGGTCGGGGGAGGGGACATTCTGCACGTAGACAGACTGCGTCAATAATAACTGCATTAAACGGCAGTGCGCTCTCGTTCTGACTCTCCGTATCTTCGCTCTCCCTGCACTTACACTGACATACACATCTGCATCTGCTTTTCTCGCTCTCTCGCCCATTCGGTTCATTGACCGCCAACACGTGCATCGCAAGTCATTGCACGTCCTCTTCCATTTGCAATGGACATCGGATGTCGAAAACCCGTGCACTGCCTCCCCACAACACACGTTGCATTTTATCGCCTGCACATGCTGGCTGCACCCTTCCCCACACCACTCCGCTCGCTCCATCTCTGTCGCCCAACTATAGAACGGCTTATAATAGCTAGACAGCACTCCCTGCCCCTCACAACCCCCTCATCCATCGTTCTCTGCAGTTGCTGCGGTCTTGCCGTCTGATTTTTCGATTTTCCGCTGTTTGCCTTTCTGCTGCGCGTGGCCTGCACTTGCGTGTGTGTGTGTGTGTGTGAGTGTGTGTGTGTGGGCTCGTGCCCCCTCTCTTTCCCTTCTTTTTCGTACTGTTCCTATCTCAAGGCAAATTGCAGTTGACGAATAAGAGTTCAAAAGACTGCTAAAACTCGAAGTGCTTGAAAATTGATTAACTTTTTAAATGACGGGGTGCTAATTACAAATTAAAATCTCGCTTACAATGTAAACGCAACGCGGAAGAAGTATTGCGCATAGGCAACCTTGACCATTCCACAAGGCCAATGCCAGCCGGGCGTTGACTTCATGCCTTCAATGGGCCGGCCGGACCCACCTCACACCACCCACCACCCACCGCCAGCCACTTGACGATCGGTTGCGAGCTGCTTTTACGACAACACGCGCCGCTTAAGCGAACGTAAACGTCGCAGGTGAAAAATGCAATGTGCCAAACGTAAAATGCGAAACTGCCATATTTTCTATTATTTATGATGACACGATCTATTAGTGCAGCGGGCATTGCAAAAACTGTGCACAAATTTCGCTGAATTCTATTCCACAGATTTTACTCACGGTAGTTCCAGAGCTTATGACTCTATACGCTTGTAGATGGCGAGAACGTGTTTGTTGCGCAAAAATTAATATCCTAATATCCCATAAACACTCAAAGCGAAAACCTTAATTTATTGTGACTTTCGACATTATTGGAGAAGTAACATAGTTGATAAGGTAATCGCTTTCCGGTTGGCCTAAAATTAGTTAGCGATATCAGCTCACTTCGCTATGAATAGCACGATAATATTTGGAAAATCCACTTAAAATGGGATAATAAAAGATTGTGGAACATTAAAAAAAATGTAAAAATGTAAAAAATGTATACTGAGATTTGTTGCTGCGAAAGTGTGCTGTATACATATGTACGTAAT